GTATACTGGAGCTACAGCAGGCAACAACTCATTTTTATGACTTGAAGAATTCTTTTTGCATAAAGAAGTCTCATGTAATAAACTAAGTTCAACATTAAATAGAACAAGACACTAGTCCTGGATCATGATTTGATAAAATACTTTCTCAAAGTACAGAAATAGCTGTTAGCAGTTTCACCCCTCAATAATTTCAGAATAGAAATTTGGTTGGTGCTAGCAATGGTTTTGGAAATGTCTTCAGAAATATCACTACTGGCACAAACAAAGAGGAAAGGCTGGCACTTCTAATCTTACATATGTTTTTAGGTTGGGCAGGCCTAAGGGTTGGACATGTTTCTGTCTAAAACTATGGTCTCACGGTGGTTTACAGCAGGGCTTCTCTGACTTGAAGATGCATAGAGACCCCCTTGGGATCTTCTTAAAATACATATTTGGATTGAAGTATATAAGATGAGGCCTGAGATTCTGCCTAACACACTCCCAGGTGATGTTGATATTCCCAGTCTACAGCCTATACGTTCCGAGTACTAACGATTTAGTCTTCATTTCTTCTAGAAAACATGCATAAGCCTGAAGTCTGAGCTGAGTTCTCTCTCTAGGCTCCTCTTGCTTTGCCATATTATCTCTTGTGGTTTCTTCTGCTGCAGTATATATCACATACTATATTTAGTAAGCTGTTTACCTGTCTATATCCTAAACTAGTCTGGAAGGTCAATGATTGCTGGGAGCATGGGATCTACATGATCCAGAACAGTGACAGACACTTAAGTGCACAATTTTTATCAAACAACAACAACAAAAAAACCTACGGTTTCAATAGTCTTAAAAACATACACTAGTTATCTGCTGGAAATCTAACCCTCTTCCTACCAATGAATTTGGCGACACTTGCCAGCCTCACCTTGTGCAATTGTTTTGTGGTTTTGAATTTGGGAAACGTACTAAATATTGTGTTTAATGTGGCCAGTATTTCATATGGTCAAGGTCTGTAGTTATTTTCATTGGTACACTTCAGTGCAAATAATCAGTCAATCTACTCGGTTTTAGGACCACCATACCAGAGCTACCCTTAATACAGGATTATTATACCCTTCTAAAATCTGCATTAATCAGTAATTCAAGAAAGCAAGCAATGGCAGATGTGCCAGATGCTTTATATGTATTATCATTAAATTCTAAACCACCACCATATGATACAGTTTTATAGATGAAAAAAGTAAGGTAACTTGCTCAAGATCACACAAACAATAACAGAATAAGGGTTTGAATTCAAGCAATTGCACTATGAAAATTTTCATGCTGAATTTATATTAATCAATCTTTTTAAACATCAATAAACTACTGTGGTGGATTAATTACTTTTGTGTGTGGCCTTTCTAGTCATGGTCTTGTAACCCCCACCCAGGTGATCGTGTGATAGGATAATTGTGGCCTACCTAGGGGATTGATCAGTTTTGCCTTAAAAGAGAGCCAATTCCAGAGCAGAAAGAAGGAGCCCACCACCATCAAGGAAGGAGGGACCAGCGGGAGGGACCCAGCAGCGGGAGACAGTGCAGTGGGCGTCCCAGCCCATGGAGAGAAAGCTGAGTGCCTTTGGGCAGAGACTGAGGGCCAGGAAGAGGCATGACTGCGAGCGCAGCTAGGGAGAGGCTATCCTAATGGAAGAACTGTATCCTAAGTGTTCCTGAGCCTGAACTGTAACTGTTACTTCCCTAGTAAACCCCATATATTTGAGTTCTGTGGGGCCACTGCAATGGATTAGCGAACTCAGTAGAGAGTGCTGTGGGAGGGACAGTTGGTATCAGAATTGGTAAAGATGGCGGAGAGAGGAGGCATGTCTGACCTCGCCTCACACGAATCAGCCTTTAGCTGTTGATCTTGGTTCTGCTTCCCCCTTGTGTGGTTGGCGGAGGTCAGACACCGCCCCCAAGCTGTTTTTACAACTACGGTTAAAAAAAAAAAAAAAGTACAAACAATATAAAAATATTCCTAAAAAATTTTTCGTAAAAGGCAGTGTAGTTTCTAAACTAGAAAACATGTAGATAATCATTGCTGACATACTACCTTCCATTTTTTATTCACTATAAAAGAAGAATAGGAATATACATCTATTTACTAATTAACCCTTCTTCAAAACGTTCTAAGACAAAGTACCAGATATATAGATTTTGTCTTTTAGGTATCCAAGAATTAACAGTTACAACTCACCAGGGTAGTTTTCTTTTCCTTTAATGAATATCCTTGTATATACTTTAAACAAAGCAATGTTTCAAAGTTCAAACTTATCTGAATTAAAAGCTGGATATGAAATGATTTATAAAGGACTGAATCCTTCTTTATTAGGAAAATATAATCTACACATCTAGTTTTCTGTTTGTTTTTTTTTTAAATTTAAAAACAAAGCTCCCCCCTAAAATCTTCAACCATGCTTCTTCCTAAGGGATTGGCATTTGCAAAACCAGAAATGACATTCATTATTTTAAAAAAAAAAAGGAAATAAGCTTGCTTATAATTAATGGATGATGCTTAACAAAACTACAATCCTCTACAGCTCAACACTCTGGAGGCCTGTTGTCTCACAGGAATAGATTATGAAATTTATATGTTAATTTGGAACACTTCATTTAAAATGCTGTTAAGAGTATATGAGTATGCTATAAAATTCTATGCTTCATAATAAAATTATTTGAATTCATGAAAAATAAAAAATCCAGTTTCAAAATAATGGGAAAGTGGTTATGATCTAATGAAGTAAATACCTCCGGAAACCCATTATATTAAAGAAATTTCACTTTCTCTATGAGAACTTCTCAATAGATATCAGTCAAAGAACTTAACAAATTCCTAAGCTTTCCATATATCTGATGTTAGCAATAAGAAATTGTGGAAAAGTAAAAATCAAAAATGAAGAAAAAACTGTTGGACTGGTGTATGTTTTGCTATATATATTCTCAACAACAACAAAATAAATGAAAGTTTAAAAAATGGGGGGGAGGAAAGAAACAAAGATAATTCAATGATTGTTTTAATCAAGGTACCATAAATAACATCAGCCCACTATAACCATTAAAAAATGTTTCTAATAAAATATCAGTTTACAGTTTAAAAAAAATTGAAGAAAAAAATTCTTAGGATTTTCTAAAAATCCAAAATATAGTTGAGTACCTATGTTTCCTTTTATAAAATTTTCTTGAAATATTTACTGTAAAAAGAAAATAAATTTGATAGAATGTTTAATAACTATTTCAATATCACCATGAAAGTAATTAGTATCTGACAATGTCTGAAGTAATCATAGTCACGTAGTTACATTAAATATCTTCCCATAAAACAAAAATGACAGAAATAGGGTAAATACTATACCATGAGCTAAAACGACTACATCTCAGAATTTCCGAATTAGAATGGATGAACACAACTATGGAATGAAAGTGTGATGAAATGAGTTCCTTTATGTGGCCCTTTGCCTTAGTTCTTTGGAAAAACAGCTTGAAAGATTTTTCCCCTAAACCCTGGGGAGTTACCTTTGTCCTAGGTTTTCTACCCCACAGGGATTATTACTTTTCTTCAGGTTGACTGGTATTTCCTGGGTAGGCTGTAAACAACTTGTGGTTTGATACCTCTTGCCGGGTCCTGGGCTGCAGCCTGCCCTGTGATTGGTATGCACCTTGCAGGGATTTGTCAATGGACTATGCAAATGAGGCAAGTTGTAGCCTACAATGCAAATGAAATGTCTGTGGCCTACCAAAAGGTGATTGGTCAGCTTGTGCCCCCCTGTCCCCAGGCCATCCCTTGAAATTGACAAGGAGTTGTGTGTATATATGCAGCCAACCCCACAGAGGTTTTCAGAAAGAAAGTAGCATAAGGACAGAAGCCTGAAGAAGCATAAAGGAGAAAAGACAAAAGAGAAGAGGGAGGTAGAGAGAAAGGCGGCAAGGAATCTCCTAAAAGGGCTGTAACACTAGAGACAGTGACAGGCCTGGAATGGGCCCAGCAGCAGAGCTGGAGGCAATAGGCCAGGAAGGGGCCCTGGTGACAGACGGCAGGGCAGAGAGGAGCCTGTCTTGAGGCTGCTGAGAGGAGGCGGGCATTGCCAAGAGGAGCTGAAAGGGCTGTCCTGCACTGAAGAAGGGAGACTTTGCCTAAAGGCTTCCTGACCCTGTTATTTCCTTAATAAACCACCTGACGTTAAGTATGGTCTGTGAGTTCAATACGGCCATTGCAATGAATTATCAAACCCAGAAGAGAAGTAGTGAGTGCCACAGGATGGACAGCTGGCGTCAGAATTGGTAAAAAGGTTGGAAAGTAGTGGTATGTCTGACTCTACCTCATAGGGATCAGCCTTAGGCAGACCTTAATTCGCATTATCCCCTCCTGAAGTTAGACAGGTTCTGACAATGCTATTACTACTACCCTTACCACTTTGCAGAGTGAAATGGAATAGAGACTGAAATAAAAAAAGTTACATGATTTGATATGATAAATTAACAAGTTTTTTTTTCCATCCCATTTGCTACTACTTTTTAAGAGCATTTCTGGGGCATTATGTTTAAAGCATAATAAAATAGTAAAACAATGAGTAACACCACATTTCTCTAATTCAGAACTCCACTTCTAGGGTTAAGATGAAACAAGCATCGTCACAGACTGTGTTTAAATTAGTCTAGGGGAGGGCCATTTCATTGCTGCTTTTTATGAGCTCTACAGTTGATTACAATATGTGGCATGTCCAATAACCACTTTTTAAACCCAACTCTTCATGCAGATATACAGAGGTACCTTTGAAAACTCTAAGAAATAAATACTAAAACATATCACAAATGCATAACTTCAATAAAAGATAGGGAAAAAACTGATTCAAGTCAAGTCGATTCCAGCTCACAGAAACCCTAAAGGACAGAGTAGAGCTGCCCCATTGGGTTCCAAGGCTGTAAGTCTTTACAGAAGCAGATTGCCACATCTTTCTCCTGCAGAGCGGCTGGTGTGTTCGAATCACTGACCTTTTGATTACCAGTCAAGCGCTTAACTGCACCACCAGGGCTCCTTTTCCATCTCCTACTACCTATCATATCTAAATTTGTCCTCTTTGTCTTTGTGAAATCCTGTGTCTGAAGTGGACAAAATAAAAACAAGAATCATTTTGTATTCATAATCATCAAAAAAACTTATGTTAGTATTTCCAGAGTTGAAGCAGACATTTGAGATATATTTGAAACATCCCATGAAGAAAAAAAAGTAAGCATTATATAATTCTTGCTAACATCTAAAATCTTCAATGCAAAAGGTACAATATAAAACAATAAACTCTCCTATAAAGGAAAAACAATACAATTGGTTTACCATTTGACAACAGACTCCCGATACCCAAGATACAGATTATACTTTCCTGTGTCCTCATGTCTCAGATTCAGACCATCCAGTATATTGGGAGGGAAACACACACACACACACACACACACACACACACACACACACACACACACACACAGATAATCTCATATACACTGAAAATATGTGGAGTGAGTTTGTGCTACAACAAATGGTTTAATAGTTACCTGTTTTAAAGAAAGTAGAATATTTCTACATCAGTCCTTGATAACAGTGAAATCATAGCAACATACTTATCAATCTTCAATTCACTCGGCATTTCTTTTAATGTCATTAACAACTCTGGAACTAAAATTTTCATATTTTTGAAAATGCTTAGCCTTACACTGTCCAATGTCGTAGTCACTAGCCATGTATGGCTACGGAACACCTGAAATGTAGCTAGTGCTGATTGAGATCTGACTGTAAAACATAAACTAGATGTCATGTACATGAGAGAAGAATGTGAGATATCTCATTAATAATTTGTGTATTGATTAAATGCTGAAATAATATTTTTAATATATTGGGTTAAATAAAATATATTAAAATTTATTTTACCTGCTTTTTATTTTTTAATATGACTATTAAAAAATTTAAAATTACATATATGTAGCTTGCATTATATTTCTATTGGACAGCACTGGCTTAGCCTTCTACTGGCTAACATATTTCGAGAGACCACTGGATAATCCAATTACTCTCACATCACAGTTTAATGAGAAACAAACAAAATCTGAAAAGTAAAAGTATTCCTTTAATCTTTAAGTGAATTCTTAGAAAAACTCATGTAGTACCAGAAAATTGTTTGGACAAATGTAAGGACCTGAGTACTATGAAACAGAAACAGAAACAGAATTCAAACCAACTAAGTCTGCAGTTCTTTGGTTAGGGTGGTTTCATTGAACTGGTAAAGACCAAAGAACTGATGACATTAAGGAAAACATGGAAGTAGTGAGGCTGACACTCAACCAATAATTCGAAACCGAAGAAACTTGCTTACGTTACAACCTGTGCCATGAAACTCCATCTCATTTAATAGCTACCCCCAACTGCTAAGAATCTGCAAAAAGAAACACTAAATAAAACCAGAAATGTAACAGAGGAATGCATGATATCATAGAAATTCATGTAATAGAATTCTGGACTTTAGGATTTCCAATATAAAGTATCAATACTCCTGTTTAGGTACAGACTATTCCCAGGAAGTTATGGCCCTAGTGCCTGAAAACTGATAAAAAATGGAAGAGCTATCTTCTGCTATCCAACTAATACTCTCCATGGTAACAGAAGTATATTAGCAAGCCATGAATTATCAAAAGAAGGGTGCTTCCTACACAACTAATACCAAGCTTGGAAGACTAAAAAGCCAACAGGGAGGTAACACATGGCCTATAATTAGCTTAAGAGATTAGTATCTTTGGGTATGTTCTTTTCTGACTGCATTCATGAAGGTCTATTTAGCAGCGACAGTAGCAGCAAATGATAAAATAGCAATGAAAGAGTGGCAACTAACCAGAAAGTAAAATATTACCAGAACCGGGAACTGAAAGAGAATAAAGCAGAAGCAGAAGCAAATACAAAGTGATGAGTCTGGAAGAAAAAAATATATAGAAACACACACATATATATAATTTTGGAACAAAAGTCAACAGAAAAATGGTCCTAATAAATTGAATTTAGTTTCTCAGTTAACTGAAAGTCTTCAAATAGAGCAGTAGAAGATTTAACAGGAATATTTAAATATTTAAAGAATGTTAAGTATCTGAACCAAAAGTAAATTTGAGATTCAAATTTCCATTGCTAAAGTCTTTTCAGAGTCAGAACTAAGTCATCATATAACTATTATAAAACAAGAAAAAATACGCTAGTAAAATTCTACTTAAACTTACTGAGGAGGAGGAGGAGAACTGGTTTGAGAAGGAAAATCTCACTTGGGGAAATAGAAAGTAAACAGTAAGGAAACTATTTAAAATTAGAGAAAGGTGTATATAAAGTGTTTTAGTCCCTGCATTTATTTTGTCATAGAGAAATAGCTAAATCCTAAATCTAATCCTAAATTCTAGAGAATGAAATATATCTGGATTTTTTTCTGAGAAGACTTATTTTTACATTAAAATCAAGTCAGATTTTCTCTAAATGACCTTATAATTCCAAAATTAGATGATTAAAGTCAAGATATTATTCCTTTTTTAAAAAATTAAACTTTAATCACTGGAAGTAATTTGAATTATGAGCCTTAAAACTCCCAATTACTATTATGACTAAACAATTCTGCACTGTTTGATATCTTGCCATTTTATAAAACATTTTAGAAAGTAGCAATTTTGTAGAATAAAAAATAATTCTCAGCTATAGTATCTTCATTTTGCCAAGTAGTTTCACTTAAATCCCACTTTAAAAGCACTGGGACTCAGCCTTAAAGGGCAGAAGCCACACTAGTTAAAACAAGCACGGGAAGCGTTCACTTCACTTCCTAAACATCAACAATACAATACTAAGATTTCTCCATAAAACTACTGAAATAAATGCTAACTTGAAAAAAATCCCACAAAAGTTAGCCATTAGTAGAAAAATCAAAATGAGATATTTCCCAGCATGAAGAACTCCCTTGGTAAATTTTGATGCTTATGAGGTTAAAAACATGCGATGACCGATGTCAATCAATGTTAGAGGGGAAAAATAAATGTTATTGTACACTCAACAGTATCCTGTTTTTTAAGGATCTGTTGTTAGTTTGACACAGAACTAAAAGTTTTAAAGAGCGTTTCTATTAGACGCTATAATCAAATAGGTCGCATTTTATGTTCTAATTAAGTTGCAATTACAAATTCCTTCAGGTATAATAAAATACATTCTTCATTAACAGCATTAAAGAAATAACCTAAACACATTATAAATCAACATTACAACATATGTAAGTTCTACCTGAGGACAGTAAAAGTTGGCCTTCAAACCAAGCTACACAACACACTTTATCTGATAATAAGTGCTCCAACATCTCTTCTATCAACATCATTAAAATCATCCTACCTGTTTGGACCGAGGTCTACCGGGAGAAAATTTTCTTTTGGTAATAGCTGGTTTACCCATGCCAATTTTTGGAGTGACTGAGATGTAAGTTGTTGGCATGATGTTTCCAGCAGAAGAATTGAGAGCTGAAGGGTAACAATGCAGCATGTCATGTGAAGGCAAGTCTGAAGGAAGAGTTGGAGGGGAAGACACATTTGCCTTGCTTATGTCTGCTACTGATGAAAATGATGATTCTGTCTCAGATGGTAATTTTAAAGATGTGTCTCCTTGGCATGAACTATCTTTTACATAACCCTCAATTGCAGGAGTCATTTCAAATTCCATAAACCCAGTGGAAGATTTAGAATTTTCTTTCTGTTCCATTTCTGCTTGTAACCTTTCTGTAGGCAACTGTTCTTTAGAACATACAGAAGTACTTTCCTCAGATGGGGACTTTAAGGTTTCTGGTGGAACAGAGACAGATTCAATGGTTGATTTTGGAGGCCTTGATTCTTCTGGGGATACCACCACTTTAGGTTCTTCTGATGAGTGTAGTTGCTCTTGCTGTACAATGTCCTGGTGTGCAATGACTTCAATGTTTTCTGTCACTTCCATTTTGTTTTCATTTTGATCTTCATGACAAATATGCATTACTTTAGAAGATACTTCCAGTTTTTCACTATTAACTTCACGAGAAACCTGACTTTCCAATTCAAGATGCATTTTATTTTCAGATGATTCTATAAAATTTGGAATATTCATTATATTAATGTACATACACATTTCAAAATTTCTAACTGACTAAATATAAGACCTTAATAATATATCAATATTAATATATTAATAACAGGCTTTGGCAGAAAAGGGGGGAGGGGAGTTTAAAAACATCTTTTTGGTTAAACCATGACTTAGAAAGTATTCATTAAGAATAGCTATTAAGTTAATAAAAATCACAATACTTAACAGTTTATGGATTAGAATCAGTCCCAGACCAGAAAACCTTACAAAAACATGGCCCTAAATGGATCCCCGGGTTTATGGTAATTTCTAAAAAGAATATATTAAGATAAAATTAATCACTGATATAATCCTATTACACATAATGTTTTATAGCTTGAACAATTACAAAAGGATTGAAAATTATGTAGGCAAAGTTATCATCCTCATTTTACAGGTAGGAAAATGAGGTTCAGTGATGTCATGTGAAGTGTTCATATTAAAAAAGCGAAGACTGGACAAGAACACACAGATATTTTGCAATAGCAGACACCCAAATGTAATAAAGATTCTGTATATTCAAAGGAGTAACAAGCAAACACAGAAAAGATTTACTAACTAGAAAAATTATTTTGCTTAACTGTACCCACTGATGTACTCAACACATTTTTTTGGATATAACTCTTGTGCTTCCTGATCGTCTATATTCTAAAGAGGCTAATCTTAGCAAGCCATTAAACTTAATTAGATATCAGAAATATAGTCACTGACTGGTAAATTTTATATCAGTGTACTACTGTGCTAAACCTTTAACCCAACCTTACTTAGGAGAAAAGTTGCAGGTCTAAATGACATGCACCGTAAGAGGCTCTGTAAAGTAGGAACACTGAAGATAAAAAGCGCTTATTCTCCCAATGCTGTGAGGGCAATTTTTAAATTATACTATAGAAATTCTAGTTTTTTCATCTACTATTTACCAGCCAGTAACTATATATCTACCTTCTGATACAAAATGAAATCTCCCTACTCATTCTTGATACACTGAAAGACTACAACCGAGGATAAAGGAAAAACATCAAATAATGTATCTGGCAGCACTAAATATTTTTTAAATGCTTGAATGTTTCAAAAATACTTAACGGAAAAACGTGAATGATAAAAAATGGACTTTAAACTAAATACATACAAGGACGAATGAATTCTTAAGGGTTTAAAACCAAAGGACCATCATTTGAGTGACTCAAGTGAAACATACTTCTCACGATGCTGCATGAAGCCTAAATTACGTGCTAACAGAAGACAACAACTTAAAAGTCTCCCTGGCAAAGAGAAACATGTGCATTCCACATATAAACCACAACCAGCATATTCTCCCTGTTCTATTTTAGGCAGGAAGTTTTTGGATAAAAATGTAAACATGCTCTACATTCCAAGCAGTTCAATTACTTTCTGCTACTAGGTTCTTATATAATGAGTTTAACTTGTTTCAGAATGTAACAAATATTTGATACACCAACTCTTTATAGAGACTCTAAACTCACTTAGAATCCATTGTCACTACTTTTCAAAGAAGGCATCATGTGACTCAAAGGTTTAGTTACTGTACTGTGTATATAGCAATTGCAAAATATTGTAACTATCCATTGGAATATTTGAAAAGTTAATGGATAGTGGCTCAAATCTGCATAGAACCATAAAGGTATTATATCTTGTAAACTGATCAAATCAGACAATATGAGCAGACTGCTTACCAGAAATGAGAAGACAATCTGTGTCAAGACTTTCTGGTGCTTTCTGTTGCTCTTCAGCGTGGACTTCAACTGCTGAGAATAACACATTATGGAATCTATAGCAAGGAGTCAAAATTCCTCTAACACTACTCCCTCAACAATCATTTGAGTAGCAGTTTATTTCGCTACCAAATGCCAATTTCCAATACAAGCACAAAACACATTATCACTATTAGTAAGTAGGATAAGAAGACAAAATTAGGAATCTTATTATGCACTATGATAGAATTTATTATTATAGATAGCTTTATTTTTCTTCACTTTACATCTGCATGAAGTACACTTTCAGTGAGTTGTTAAATGTAAACTTAACGAATTTCAAAAAAATCTCAGGCTTTTTATGTATATACTCAATTTATATAATATAAAATTTCCCATAAAATCCCACAGACTTTCATATGAAACCATACTTAAATTCAGTTAAGTAGTTTTTCCCAACCTAGTCTCGTTAATTCTAGATTCTCATGTACAATAATGCTATTATCAGTACTGTCAAAAGCTGAATTGAAATATCATTGAAATAACTGAAATAACCCTCAATAGAACTACTGAGATTACCTAAAACAATAATTTTTCATTAACTCAGTATGAAACACCTCCCATTCAGCAACAGCTCTAGTTAGTAGTTAGAAGTCTAACTACAAGAAGAGAAAAATACCAAACTGTTTTTTAATGAAAATCATTTGATCACTAAACAAAGTATGCAGTTATAATTAAGTCTAGATTAGAGCAGAACTACAATCTGTAAGTGCCCTTTCTCCTATTATTTTCTTCCTAAGGTTATTAGTTTTACTAAAAAGCTCCTTTCTAAACAATTTCCTGAGTGACTATATCTGTGCTAATTTTTATATAGAGATCTAAAGTTTTAGTAGATGCACATATATTATTCACTATATACATACATTTTCTTCACAAAATAGAGCACAACCATTATCACAAGCATTCTTACCATCTGGAACAATTCCAGGTATGAACTCTTGACCTCTGACATCTTTACTAACTGCTTGCTCCAGAAATACCACAGGGTCTTCAGGTCCTTCAACTTCCATTTCATTGTTATAATCTTAACAGAAAATAATGTATATATTCTCTAGATCAGAATGCGTTTTCTGTTGTTAACTAAATCAACAATATTATCACCAAAAATGTCGTAAGTATAACTTTAGATATTTCTGTTCTAACCAGATATTTAAATTTTAAAAAACCATGAAAAGTACAATGTATTAAAAGATAGTTGGCATTTCATTCTTTAAAAAAGGATATTCCACGAGTGTATACTGATAGCGTCCTGTAAATGAAATGTTAGTAATTAATTAAGATAATTCTACTTAAATCTCTTGTAGATGATAAAACAGGACTATTCTAAAAGTTACCATTCATACTGATGAAAATGAAAAATAAACTGGTAAGCAGGTCTTACCCTTTAAGAAGTTTGTTATTACGCTCATAACCAACAGGGTACTATTATTAATATTCCATACTTGAACAAAATTTTGGGTTCAAGAAGCAAGAATTCACATTTAAGAAGTAATGAAACTAAAACTAGTTTAGAGCAAGATAACCTGGATTATGAAGAGCAAACTAGGTCATATGCCCAAAGGCTGAAGAACTTTCACCACTGGGCTAAAGAACACAACTGGAATTCAAATATGAGAACTGTCTTAATGCAGTTAGATAAGATTTTAGTCAACAGAGTCAGAGATAACCAAGATAATACGCATATTTCAAGGTTGAGAAATTGAGAATAAGATGGGATCTGATACACAGGACTCTACCATTATTACTAAAGTAATATACTGGTGACTGATTAGGACAGCTTCCTGAAAAAAGCAAAAATCTCAGGTTTACCTGTCCTGAGTTCAGCCACCTCCATTTCATCACCTGGCTGTATCGAATCCATCGCGACTGTTAAGTGTTTACAATACATGCAGATATACTCTTCTTTCAGTTGAGAATCTAGTTCATGATCCGTTGGTTTGTCACATTCTAAGTGAACCCACCTATCGTGACAAATATATTTAAATAAAAATAATTTAAAGTCAATTTAATATCTAGGGGAGGGGAGGGCAATTGTTGAAATGGAAGAGGGGTAAAGGATGAAGAGAGAAAGCTTATAGGGGATGGTAAATGGCAAAGGTTCTAAAAAAGGACTTGGCATTTTTTACTTCCACATTTGTAAAGTATTTCCTCTTTACTTTGTCCTCTTCATACTCATTTCTATTCTTGTCTTTTCTTTTGCCTCTCAGACCCATAAAAACACAATTTAATTCCATCTATACCAACAGTCAGTACTAACGGGATTACTGGTGTAGTAAAAGCTTGGAGCTCAAAGGTATATGGTAGGGCAAGTGATCACATGGATAAAACAATCTACAAAATGATTTAATGGAATAACTGTATCTCTCACCTTTTACACATATTACAATGAAGCATGTCTTCCTGATATTCTGGATGGTAGCACTTCCCACAAAAAGGACATAAATTATCCTGCTGTTGGTAACAACTGTCACATACTAGGCAATTGTGGTGCCACTGAGAACTAGATCGTGTGCCACATTCTACACATATTCTGCAATTCTAAACACCAGGGGGGAGAAAAAAAGGTTTGTTATGGATAAAATAGTCTGCTATTGCAATTCTGATGTAAACCTTTTTAAAGTAAATGAGACATTCATGGATTACATATTAAGCTCTAATTTTTACTATACGAATTTAGGGTGTATGTTTCTGAAAAAGCAATTTGTTTTGAAATGTCTGATGTGACCTTAAACAATCTGCACTAAAACCTCCAGAAAAACATGAATAGGTATGGCGGCATCCAGAACACATAAAAGGGAAAGGAAGAAAACCAAGACACAGCAACCCAAACTTCAAAAAAGAAGCATATTCAGAAATCAGGAAGTAACTTTTGCAAAATAAGTCTACTTAAATCACTATTGTAGAAAACAAAATTGGGCTGCTAAAATATTCCATCAGCTTCTGGGTAGCCTAGGAACTAAAAACAAAAACTTGCACTAAAGAAACATCATCACCCACTCCAAACGACTTGGCATTTGAACTTGTGAAAATAAGCACTCCACACCCAAATCCAATGATGACTCTCTGTATTTTCAGAATGAAGAGTGGAACTATCCTCACCAAAGTGGAACTGTTTATGAAGTGCATGGCTTGCCAGATGTCGGCTAAATACTTTTTGGTGCCTGTGCGCTAGCCAGCCTTAAAATCTTAAGTGCAAGGCTGATAAATTGTTGGGCTCTCATTATTCACCACAACTTCCCAATATAAAACACCAATAAAAGTAATTTCAACTTTTTGAGCTGCCAGGTTGATATGAATGAGGTGCTCACCCAAAAACAGAAATAAGCATGAATACCACAGATTTGCTAAAGTCTTATAGATTTAAAACTCATGCACTTTTAAGTACTGATGTAAAAATCCCTAATGAAATATTAGCAAACAGACTGCAATATCACATTAACAAAATAAACCATGACCAAGTGGGGTTTGTGCCAGAAATGCAAGGATGGTTAAATATTAGAAAATCTACTAATAAAATCTAGCATACTACTAGTCTGAGAAGAAAAAATACCATATTTTTATGCAAATAACACACACATTATACGTTTTTTTGCCAACCGTGCACCCCCTCACGCATTGTGCTCTGTGTGTTCTACATGTGTGAGTGCATTATTCACATGGACACATTAGTCACAAAAAATGCACTCATTATTTCAATAGATGCTGAAAAAGCCTTTGAAAAACACATTCCTAATAAAAACTCTTGAAAAAAATAGAAATGGATGAGTATTTCTTTAGTTTGATAAAATATATAAATCTTCATCCTAAAGCCAGTATCTTATTTACTGAATTAGTGGAGGAACCCTAGAGATATTACCACTAAGATCAGGAACAAATCAGGGATGTCTACTATCTTCACTACTATTTAACATGATTCTGGAGCCAATGTAAATAGAATTGAGAAAACAATCAGAGGCACAAAAATAGGAAAACCCTAGATAATTAATCATAAAATTGATACAATAAAATAATTCAGTAAAATAGCAGGATATGAACTTAGCATGCAAAAATCAACAGAATTCATATACACAAATTATAACTGGTTAAAATATATAATGAAGGAGAAAAACCTCACAAGAGTAGCACTACAGATAAAACAAGAATAAACAAGAAATGTTCAAAGCCTATACAAGGAAATTACAAAACATTCCTGAAAGACACAAAACTAGACTTGAACAAATGGAAAGATTTTCCTTTTTCTTGGTTAGGATGTCCTACCATCAAGACATCAATTCTCCCTTATTTAATTTAAAAATTTATTGTAATCTCAACCCCAGTGAGGTTTTCACGGAGCTAGATAAATTGATCTTAAAGTTCATATGGAAAAATAAACACACAAGAACAACTAGGAAAAATATGAAAAGAAAAAGTTCTCAGTGGGGGGACCAACACTACCAGATACTGCAAAGCCTCTGGAACAGTGTGATACTGGTGCATGAACAGGACAGACCAAACAATGGAACAGAAATTCCGGAAATGAGCCCACTAAAAAGAAAACTTCAGTATATGATGAAGGTGAAATGTCAAAGCAATGGAACAAAGACGGTCTTTTTAATGAATGGTTTTCAGACAACTGCATAGGCAATTGGATAAAGATACCTCCTACCATACATGGGGATCAATAAGAAAACATAAATATATGTTTATCATAAAAAAAAATTATAGGGAGGATAAACCAGAAAATAATGAAGTCAGTTACCTGTAAGAGGTAAGGGAAAATGGGCAGAAGTGATACAGGAGGGAGGGACACTTCTACGAGCAGAGTTTATTGTATAGCTTTGATTTCGAAAACCATGTTACGTTAATATCCTACATATTTTTTGAAAATTAAATCAGTAAGAAGAGAGGGAAGCAAACTAATAATGAGAGCAAACTGAAATAGGTTTGTTTGTTGGACTGAGCAAATGAATACATGTGTTGAAGTTGTTGGAACCTAGGTTTCTAACTACAGAATGGACATGCAAGAATGGGACAAAGCAGAGAACTCAGTAGGGAGGCAGTGGAAGCAAAGTATTGATGTAGTCTCATGATTTCTGTATATATGCAAGAAGAGCCCTGGTGGTGAAGTGGTTAAGCACTTGGGGGCTAACCAAAAGGTCATGGTTCAAACTGACCAGCTGCTCCGAGGGAGAAAGATGTGGAAGTCTGCTTTTGTAAAGATTTACAGCCTTGGAAACCTTATGGGGCTGTTCGCCTCTGTCCTATAGGGTTGCTATGAGTTGGAATCGACTTGCTGGCAGTGGGTTTTTATATGTGCATACTTGCTTTTTTTATTCAAGTGTTAAAAAAGCAAAGATGTCACTTTGAGGACCAAGCTGCTGGACAATGAATAAGGAAGACCGAAGAATTGATGACTTTGGATTATGATGTTGGCAAAGAATACTGAATATACCGCGGACTGCCAGAAGAATGAACAAGTCTGTCTTGGAAGAAGTACAGCCAGAGTGCTCCTTAGAAGCAAGAATGGTGAAACTCTGTCTCACATACTTTGGACATGGTATCAGGAGGGAACAGTCGCTGGAGGACATCATGATTGGTAAGATAGAGGGTTAGCAAAAAAGAGGAAGACCCTCAATGAGATAGACTGACACAGCGGCTGCAATAATGGGCTCAAACATAGCAACGACTGAGAGGATGAAGCCGGACTGGGCAGTGTTTTGTTCTGTTGTACCTAGGGTTGCTATGAATTGGAACCGACTCAACAGCACCTAACAACAATACTATGGATGTAGGTATATGTACTTGTATATATGTGTGTGTATAAATGTACATACATGCATGTATTTGCTAGCCCAGTGTGCTGAAAAGGCAGAGCAGCAAACACTCCCCAGTGGCAATGAGCACACTCAGCACCCATTCTCCAAGTAAAGGAGCCTGGGTTACTTACTGAAAACAGAATGATTCCAGGGCTGGACAGGGGAGGTAAAAGATAAGCTTGGACTATCCTGTTATGCTAAAAGCAATGAAGTGGTAAAAAAGAAAAAAAACAGCGAGGGCATGTCAGACAGTGTGAAGTGACTGTAGTAGCTGTTGTTTCATGCCATCAAGTCCATTCCAATTCATAGCAACCCCATGTGACAGAGGAGAACCGCCCCATAGGGTTTTGTTGGCTGTAATCTTTACGGAGGCAGATTGCCAAGTCTTTCTTCCTGGAGCCGCTGGGTGGATTCAAACTGCCAATCTTTCAATTAGCAGCCACGCGCTTAACTGTTGCACCACCAGGGCTCCTTTGAAGGGGCTACCACTGGCCAAATACGGGACAATTTGAACACAAAAATAGGTACAGTAATGAATTATAAATTATTGAAATAATAGGAATTCATGAGTCAAGCTAATAACAACAAAAATAATAAATGAATAACTTTAACATGTGGAAGAAGGGAGAGCTCTACCTTAACACGGGAGAATCTGGAGGGAGTGTTGGAGTTAGGAAATCATTTTGCAACCAACATGTAAAAATTCAATCAAGCAATGGTTCCTAAAATCTAGGAGGAAATTCTGATGAGGAATAAGATATCTGCATAGTCCTAAAGTATCTCCAGATAATACTTTATTAGATACAAGGGGGGCAGGGGGACCAAACAAACAGTGGAGAAATTTGGCAACAGCTTGACTAGGCAAACAGAATTTACATCACCTATGAGGTATGTGCATTGTGGGTATCCAGATGTGATACCCTGAGAAAGGCACATTATCATTTATGTAGTATTCTGGCCAAGAACACATAACTCTTAATCTAATCACAAGAGAACATCAGACAAACACAAAGTTAAGGAACAGTCTATTAAACAAACAAAAAAAAGTGTGAAGGGAAGAACTATGTTTATTAAAGACGAAAAAAAGAAGAGCTGGGAAAAATTTCCGGATTAAAGGAGGCAAGAGATAAATCAACTAAATGGAATATCTGACCCCAGGCTAGATCCTGGAAGTTATATGGGAAGGGGAGCGGGGGGACCGCTATACAAAAAATTAGATCAATTGACAAATTTGTAATATGAATGGTAAAGTAGATGAAAGTACTGTATTGATGTAAATTTATTAAGCTGACAATGGTACTGTGATTATGTAAGACTATTCCTATTTATAGGACATACAACCTGAAATATTTTGGTACAAGATGGGAGCATGGCATATGTAACTTACCCTCAAATGATTCAGGGGGAAAAAAAAAGACTAGACTCACACTTCCTTGAGGGTATACATATTTGGTCCTGCATCTCTATCCACCACAGTGTTTGACCCAAAGTAAACTCTCAAATGTTAGCTAAATGAATGAACAAATTATGACTGAAAACTACAATTACAAAAGAATTTAACAGCAGAAAAAAGATCATTCTTCAAAGTGCTCAGAAGATAAGCTTTCCTATGGAAAAACTGTGTGACTGATTATTTGGGTACTTTGTGTTGGGCACTATCTTAAGGCACTTAATATGTATCATCGCATTAAATCCAACATCCCCGTGAGGTAAGTACTATTAACATCGTACACATGATAGGAA